GGGTCGAAGCAGCACTTCGCAAATGGATGGCCAGGATAATCGGGAAAGGAGTTCGAGTTGATAAAGGGGGCGCCTTAACATATGCGCGGACGACGTCGTGATTTTCGCGGCCTCACGTGCGGATCTCATCTTAATGGCCACGGCGCTCAAAGAGGGACTTTCGAAAGTCGGTCGCAACCCGAGCGCTGGAAAGACCAGGGTACTTACGACAGCGTGCGATATCAATCTGGGTTCGTTGGACTTCGGGGGCGAGCCCGCGGGCGTCCTAAACGGCGACGTGGCCCGCGAATATTTGGGGGGGAAGCTGTGCGGCAACCTCCGTTCGAGGAGTCTTCTTGAGCTTGGTCGCCGGACTAAGGTAGCGTGGATGAGGATTCCATCGGCGTCCTGATGTTCTAATGGACAAGCAGTTGAGCGCGTGCTCCCTGATCGAGGTCTTCGACGCAGCAATCGCTCCAACGATATTGTTCGGCCTCTCGTCTTGTGCAATGGCGCGGGCGCAATTGAGCCCATTGGATGTTCTTCAGCGGAGGATGCTCCGACAAAACGCTGGGTGGGTTCGCATGGGGGGTGAGCCGCGGGGCGGAACGGCGCGGGGGATCAGGCTGACAGTGGATGCTGCTCTAACAACTTACTCCATGGAAGGCTGGGGCGTCCTGTTGCTACGGCGGCAACGCAGGCTGGCTCGTCGCGTCGGCGCGATGTCGGATGGCTGGCCTGCAACTGCATCGCGTCGGCGCCCACCTTCAGCGCGTCCTGAGGTTGGGCGGTCACGCGGGCGACCCGCTGTGAGATTGGGCGACTATCTGCGCAAGTTTGCAAGGGGGTATTATGAAAGCGAATGGTCTGATGTGGGTGCGGATAATTCTTCTCGCGAGCACGAAGAGGACTTTGTGCGTTGTTCCCTCGGGCTCCAAGAGCGAGGCTGGAGGTTCAACGCAGTCGCGCCCGATTCTGGGCCGAGCATTGACTCGACCGGACGACCTGCCACCGTGCTGGGTTGCGGGTATAAAAAGCTTACAGGATACTCGTTGGGGTCTCGTGGGGGGCATCTCGGGGGCCTCTTGGGGGCAGTTTTGAGGCCTCTTGGGGGCCGTTGTGGGGTCTCTTATGGTGTCTCGGGGCTTCTTGGAGGCCTCTTTGGGCCTCTCGGGCCTCGTGGGCGTCTCTTGGCGCCTCCTGGGGGCCTCTTGGGGCGGAAGGCTTGGATGTCCGATTCGTGTTCCTCTTGGGCCCCTCTTGGGGCGGTCATGGGACCCTCCTGGGCAGTCTTGGGCGCCTCGGTGGCCGTCATGGGGCGTTCTTAGGCCGTGGGCTGTGGGCCTGGTCTTCTTGTGATTCTTCCCTGCTCGGGGGGCGCAGTTTGAGAGGAGTTGACAACGTAGTAGATGGCCGATGGAGGTTCAGGGGCCGTTCCAAAACTGCACGACTTTTCATCCGGGTTATTGCCAGAATTCGTTGTTTCCAGACGGCGGTTCGTGCCCGGCACAATGCGGGGGAGGTTGATGAGGTGGGCGTCGCCGCATGTTCCGACATTTGTTTCATTCAGTTGGTTGAGCCCCTGAGTGAGACCAGCAAGACCTTGCTCAGTATCTTTCGGAGTGGCGCGGCGGCTACACAGTCGCGGCGTCGAGCTGAGTTGCCTTGTAGACATCGCGGCAATCTCGCGCCATCCTGCAGTGGTATGAATGCCTCGACGCGCTCACCTACGCCAGCAGGTCGCTGAAATATATTCCCTTCCAGCGGGGTTCTGGACTTCGGTCCCCCGTGTGATCTCAAAATCTGGATGGGTAACTCACGCAGCCCCCGACTTTCAAATTGAAATAGAGAGTATTGACCGCAGCTTTGGTGTCGGTGCCCTTCGTTTTGGCATTGACAATACGTTGGGCAGATCCTACTCGTTTGACTTCGTCGAGGGGATGCCCTAAGTTGCCAAACGCTGGGCCGATCCTACTCCTTTGCCCTCGTCGAGAATTCGCCCTGGGTTGCCAACGCAACAATTCTTGGTGCTCCGCGTATCTTCTCCAGCCCATCCAATACTTCTGCCCAGGCAAGATTCCTTGAGTAGGGAAGTTGGGGAGCATGCAGTGGAACAGAGCTGGGGAAACAGGTCAAATCGAAGTTTTGAATCAGACTGAGCAAAATCGGAAGGACGGATGACGAGGATGAAGTGGGAGCAGGAAGAAGATGAGAACTAGGAGGAATAACATTGAGGAGTGATGCTGATGCTGATGCTGTTGATGATGGTGATGACAATGATGATGATAGCGGTGATGTTGATGCTGATGATGCTGATGATGGTGATGATGCAGATGCTGCTGATGATGATGATTATTATGATGATGGTGGTGGTGGTGATGATGGATGGCAATGATGATGTTGTCGGTGATGATGCTACTGCTGATGCTGATGCTGATGCTGATGCTGCTGCTGCTGATGATGATGACGATGGTGATGATGATGGTGATGGTGATGGTGATGACGATTATGACGGTGGTGGTGATGATGATGAGGAGGAGGAGGCGGAGAAAGGCGATCACATCTCCTGGGGTTTCCTAGGAGAGAGGAGGAGGACGAGGAGGAGGAGGATGAGGAGGACGACAAAATGATGAACAAGATGATGATGAGGAGGCGATCCGCACATGGGCGGAGGAGGAGGAGGAGGTGAAAACGGTGGCAGAAGAGGTGGAAGAGTCAACGGAGGGAGGAAAGCGAGCAGAGGAAAGAGGATATTGACAGAACGTGTTCGTGAAGCTGGCTGGGCGCGACGGAGGCTCAAATCTTTTTCGGGACTCCCTGGGCATTCCGGAGGGGTTGGACGGGTGGCGGTGTTTGGGGAGGGGGGGGGGCAAGCTATGTGCGCTCGCGTAATATCTGACGCCGTACCCCTCGCTGCCATCCCTTACCATGGCGTAGATCTCCTTTCAATTCGCACAGTCGGATGTCGAGCAGGGCGATGATCCCGAGAGGATGCGCGGTGCATCGTAGAGCACGGCATAGCAGTGCGTAGAAAAGCACGGCAGAGCGTAGTATGCCATAGAGCATGGCGTGGCGTTGCGTAGTGAAGAAAGGCACCACGAAGCATTGCAACGCAAATAATGGCATCGCACAGCGGCACATAACAGAACATGGCATAGCATGGCGTTGAAGATCAAAACGTAGCATGGCATATCCTAGCATTGCAGCTGAAGGCATGGCATCGCACAGCGGAGCACCACATAGCATTGCATTGCATGCCTTGGAGTGGCACTGGAAATGATGACGCCAGCGCTGCAGCGGGAGCACGATTCGGAACGAGCGGAAGCGCGTAAATGAGGCCAGCGCTGCAGCGGGAGCACGATTCGGAACGAGGCGGAGCCCGAAAATGAGGCCTGCGCTTCAGCGGGAGTCCTTCAGATCGACATGGGGGAGGCAGAGACGGGGGGGGGCGATCAAACCGCCGCTGAGTGAGCCAAGGGGCGGTCAAAACGCAACCAGACGCGTTCAAAACACAACCAAACGTACGCGGCTGCACAACAGTAGCGGTGTCAATTGTTCTGGCGCCTCTTTCGAGCAGGTGGGGTCTCCCCCATAGGACGCACTGCTGCAACCCGTCGTCTGAAGCAGCGGTCCGGAGCCAGGCCCCCCCCCCTCCCCCTCCCCCTCCCTTCCGCCCCGTGTCGAAACGCCGAGTGAGAAAACGCTCGCGAGGTGAGACCAGAGACAGGTCGGTCCCGCCGGGCACGGGGCCACCGTCCACGACCAGCGCGGTGGAGGAGCGCAGGGCAGAGGAGGCGGCCCGCCGATGGTGCACCTCACAGGCTCCAGGCTGCGGCGGCCACTGCCGTGGCAACGGGCAGGGGACTGCCCAGAGTGCAGGGGGGAAAACCCACCCGGACCCGACAGTTAGGGGATCTCCTCCTCCCCCTCCTCCTCCTCCTCCTCCTCCTCCTCCTCCTCCTCCTCCTCCTTCTCCCCCCTTTTTCCCTCCTCCCTCTTCCCTCCTCCCTCCTCCCTCCCAGAGTCAGAGGGGGAAAACCCACCCGGACCCGACAGTCGGCGCCTGCTGCGCGGCCCAGGGCGTCTGCGGAACAGCCCCCTGCCCTGCTCGAGCTCCTCCGTGGGTGCGCTTCCTGAACGGCTCCGCGCGTCGGGCTGGTTCATTCTGGGGGCGGACCCTTCGCCCTCCTCGGAAGGGACGGTCCAGCGATGGGGTCGAGGGCTCCAGGGTCCACTGATGGGGTCGAGGGCTCCTCGGAAGGGGCGGCCCAGCGATGGGGTCGAGGGCTCCAGGGTCCATCCCCAGCGATGGGGTCGAGGGCTCCGGGGTCCAATGATGGGGTCGAGAGCTCCTCGGAAGGGGCGGTCGCACCACCCACCAAACCACCCCAGCCCAACCCGAAGGCCTCCATTTGCCCTCCACTTCCAGGGGGGGGGGGGGGGGGGATCGGGGGAACACCGAGATCACACATACGTGGAACCCGCACCCCCCCCCCAACCCGAAACTGGGGGTTTCGGGTTGGGCTGGGGGTGGCCTGGCAGGTGGTTGTTCTCGGGGCGGACTCTCTGCCCTCTGCAACGCCTGAGGGGAGGAGCTGCGCGGCGCCCACCTCCGCCCCCGCACGGTTGCCAGGCCGACCCGGGCGGCAGTCGGGTGCCGGCCTGCCCGAGGGGCCGGGCGCGGGGCGGGGCGAGGGCGGGCCACGGTGCGCCCTTCCGGCCCGAGCTGCCGAGCTCAGCTTGCTCTTGGAGGGGGAGGGGGAGGGGGAGGGGGAGGAGGAGGAGGGAGGAGGAGGAGGAGGAGGAGGAGGAGGAGGAGGAGGAGGAGGAGGAGGAGGAGGAGGAGGAGGAGGGGGAGGAGGAGGAGGAGGAGGAGGAGGAGGAGGAGGAGGAGGAGGAGGAGGAGGAGGAGGATGGCCCCGAACCCCGTCGTGGAAACTCTTCCTCCCGCTCCTCATCGGACTTTCCCTCTCCTCCCCCCCTGGGGGGAGGCTTTGGCCGCTGCCCCCCCCTTGACGGAGGCCGACCGCAGCCTGCCCGGGGCCCTGCTCACGACCATGAGCAGGTGCGGCTGGACGCGCAGGCGGGCACGTCGTCGTCGTCGTCGTCGTCGTCGTCGTCGCCGTCGTCGTCGTCGTCGTCGTCGTCGTCGTCGTCGTCGTCGTCGTCGTCGTCGTCGTCGTCGGAAGAGGAGGCGGAGGAGGAGGAGGAGGGAAGGAGGAGGGGACATAGGTAGGAGGAGGGAGGTCGAAAGACGTTCGTCCCCGGACCCCCTCGCGTCGTGGAAAATGGCGGAGGGCGTTTGGCAACTCTCGGCCCACCCGGAGGGTTCAGGAGGAGGAAGAAAGAGGTGGTGCAGGATGACTAATCTGATGAGTGTGTGAGTGAAATCAGGAAACAGCAGAACGCGGCAGCAAGCAAAAGCCGGCAGGATGACACAGCATCAACCACCACTGAGCATTATCCATCATCCGCGACCGACGGCAATCAGCAGCGTCAACACCAAGCGGCTCAAACAGCAACGCTTTCCGTTGTGCCCGAATGCGGTTATTTGGTGGTTGCGTAGGGTCTCGCCCATACAAACGGTACTTAGCTGTACTTGCTTGATGGACTCATGCGCTGGCATCATCTTCCCCATCCTCCGCTCTTGCTGCTGCTGCTGCTGCTGCTGCTGCTCCTTGTCGTCTTCCTCTTCCTCCTCCCTTCCTCCTCCCTTCTCCTCCCTTCTCCTCCTCCCTCTCCCTTCTTGTCCACCTCCCACTCCCGCTCCCATTCCTCGCCCTACTCTGTCTTCTCCTCCTCCGCTTCCTTCTCCTTCCGTTTCCCCTCCACTACTCTTCTGCTTCCGCCTCCTGTTCCTTTTTCCTTTTTCTCCAGCCTCGGGCCTCTTTGCCCTTGTTGGAAGGCGAATAATGTGGCGAAGACTACAGTCAACACTGATAGTAAGGATGAGCGCCTTTCCAAGGTGCCTTGAATCGTTTCCCTTCGGCCCATCCTCGGCCACTCTCGTTGGCCGCGCGCCGCTCGAAAGGTGTTGGCACGATCGTGCATCCGGACTATCCGTTTTGACTGCACGACGACATCGGCGTCGGTGGCGACGACGACGAGGGCCCCCAGACCCGCCCCAGAGGACCACCGTCCCGAAGGCCGCCGAGCCCGCGAGGAAGTCCTGCGAGGCGGCGCCGCAGGCGCCGTCGAAGCCAGTGTGCGCTGCCCGCCCGCCCGCGGCCCACGACGATGACATCGAGGGACGACGGGCGACGACGACGGGCGACGACGACGACGTTGACGACGACGACGCCGCCGCCGACGACGACGGCGAGTTCGGCCTCCACGGCTTGTGCAGTCCCCGTCAGAGAGCGTCCAGCAGAGGCCCGGTGGTCGTCCCTGAGGGGGCAGCGACGGCGACGACGGCGGCGACGGCAGCGGCGGAGACGACGGGGGGCGCGCCCGCTGGCGCTGACCAGGACAGCTGGGCGCCCCCCCTCCCCCAACTGCCTCTGCCCCTTCGTTCGGGCAGCTTGCTGGGAAGACCTCCTTTGCTGTGGGCGACAGACATCGTGGTTTTTGTTCTTGTTGTTGATCTGTTTGTGTGTGTGTTTCTCCTGTGACCTCGGTGGCTTTTCGGGCGTTTCCCCGACTGCCTCCGCCACGTCGCATGCGCGCGTGGCACGTGGCCGCGACGTCGAAACTGTGGATGTGTGTGTGTGTGTGCGTGTGTGTGTGTTTGTGTGTGTGTGTGTGCCATCCAGGTGCGGATGGCTGATGCTAGTAGGATTGCGTCCTAAGCGATGTTTGATGGCCTGGCCGCCGCGCGCACTGCTACGCTTTCTCCGCATCGTCGCTGCGCGCGAGGCCGCTACCGCCAAACATGTGTGTGTGTGTGTGTCGGGGGGACGAGGTGCAGGTGGCGGAGGAGGAAGCGGATGATGATGGTGGTGGTTGCGGTGATGATGTTGTTGTTGATGTTGATGTTTATGACGACGATGATGATGATGCTGATGCAGATGATGCTGATGATGATGTTGTTGATGCTGTCGATGTTGATGATGATGACGACAATGATGATGATGTTGATAATGATGCTGATGACAGTGGTGGTGGTGATGGTGATGAATGTGATGTCGATGATGATGACGATGGTGATGATGTTGATGATGATCATACTCATGAGGATGATGATGATGATGATGATGATGATGATGATGATGATGATGATGATGATGATGGTGGCGGTAATGCTGATGATGACGATGACGATGCTGATGGTGACGGTGATGATGATGATGATGATGATGATGATGATGCTGATGCTGATGATGATGATGCTGTTGATGATGATGATTGTGGCGGAGGAGGGAGCGAATGATGGTGGTGGTGATGATGATAATACTGAAGATGCTGATGATGGTGGTGGTGATGATGATGATGTTGGTGGTGGTGATGATTATGTTGATGTTGTCAATGATGATTATGGTGGTGGTGGCGGTGGTGGTGGTGTTGTTGATCATGTTGATGATGCTGATGCTGCTGCTGATGATGCTGATGATGACGATGGTGATGCTGAGGATGCTGATGATGGTGATGATGACGATACTGGTGGTGATGGCGAGTGTGAGGGTGAGGGTGAGGGTGAGGGTGAGGGTGATGGTGATGGTGATGGTGATAGTGAGGGTGATGGTGATGACGATGACGAGGGTGATGATGATGATGATGATGATGATGCTGATGATGATGATGATGAGGGTGAGGATGAATATGAGGATGATGGTCATGGTTATGCTGATGATGATGAGGAGGAGGAGGCAGAGGGGGACGACGAGGGGGACAGGGCGATGGTGATGCTGCTGATGCTGCTGCTGATGATGATGATGATGGTGATTGCGATGGTGATGGTGCTAGTGATGGTGATGTTGAGGACGAGGACGACGAGGACGAGGACGTTGACGGGGATAAGTATGGTGAGGTTTAGGATGAGTATGGTGAGGAGGATGATGAGGTTGAGGGTGAGGATGGTGGTGATTGTGATGGTGGTGGTCATGGTGATGATGATGCTGATGAGGAGGAGGAGGATTAGGAGGAGGAGGAGGAGTAGGAGGAGATGAGGGGGTCGATCAGGAGGGGCGGGGGATGGGGGGTGAGGACACAAGCCAAGGGAACAGAGACCGAATCGAGGAAGAGCTCCCTGTGCCAAGCAGAACGTTCCATCACGTGCTTTGTCCCATACCGCGGTTTCCATGGCCGCTTTCTGGTCTGAGCTGGGTAGACGGTAGTGCGGAATGGGAAGGTGGTGGGAGGGGGCCACGATGATTTTGTTTGCCAAGGGAGTTCCGCACTTTTCCGCCTGCGACTCCTCTCGAGGTATTGCCGCGCTCACGACACCAGGGAGAAGCGGAAGAAAGTTGAGCCGAGGCAGCTTACCGCGTGAAGACGACGCCGACTTTGATTTTTGCATGTGAGCCATGTGTTGTATCGGCGGCGTTGTTCAGTGATAGTTTGGTGCCGCTGCAGCGTCTTGGCTGTTTTGCGACAGTTCTTCACTGTACAGCGTGTCTGCCATTCCGTTCCAACGCTCTGGCGTCCACACATGCTCTCTTTGTCCCCGTCCTCCTCTTCTCCTCTCTTGGCCTTTTGTTATCCCGTTGACGTTGATGTTGATGCTGAGGATGAGGATGGATGGGGGGACGGGAAAGGAGCAGGAGCATGGGACTGATAATGTCTGCTCACTAAGTGAAGGAACATGTAGCCTTACACCGAGGGGGGTTGTTTGGACCTGGGGCCAGAACGTCTGGCCATCTTGGCCTTACTCAGGACTTTCGGCCACAGACCCTGATGGATCCTGCTGGGGTAACCATTGCCCGTCGGTGCAGCTCGTTTACAAGGCTTGCGGAGGGACACGTTCTGATGACTGGCGTAGCAGCCGCACCGCCCACAGAGCCAGAAACGCAACTTCGCTCTGATATTTAGAGCTTGAGTCTCATGCATCCAGCCTCCAGTCACATGCAGCCTCTCTCCTGCAGGGAGGCCTAAAAAGAAAGCCCCATTCACATTCTGCTGGGCCAAGTCAAGTCAAGTCAAGAAGCCATACGCCCATTGGCGCGTTGGCGAGACAACGCATTGCACTGTGCTGCTCCTGGTGGGCCTTGCCTCTGGCAGGGCGCGCTGGGCCAAGCACGAGTTTTTTTTTCCAGAGCTCAGCGCACGCCTTGGAGGCCGACCCCACGCAGCGCTCTACTTCTGACGCGGTACCATCAGGCATGTGGCTGGGCGTGCAGCTTGCTATGATACTGGGGGCAGGAGAAGGGGGGGATGTGGGGGGAGGTCCGCTCTACTTCCTTCTCGCCACCCCATCCTCGAACGCGCTGGCCATGGCATCCGTGGATCATCCGCGGATCCGCCTGCGCCTCGCGAGGCAGGTCTGCCTCTCGTTGTCCATTGATGCGGTGCCTGTCGCTGGCGGGCGGGCGCACCTGGTCGGCCATGTCGCGGACTACCTTGCCGAATATGTTACCAAGCACCGTCCATCCGTTTCCTCCGCCGTTCATGATGTCCTCCCCGCTGAGACATGAGTTCACGAACGCCACCTGGATATCATTCACATCGCGTCGCGGCAAAAGGATATGGTTGTGACTCCATGGTCTATTTGTTCGTCGTGAGCGCCCTCCTGTCTCATGTGTCCTCGCAAGCCGTGACATGTGTGATGAGCCTTGTGCTCGCCCATATGGCAAGCCATAGTGTTTGGAGCTCTCCGCGTGGAGCTGCCTGCCGCCTCCCTGCGAATGTTCAGCAATGAGCACCCGAGTTCTGACTGGACTGAAACAGTCGAAATCGGAAATACCAAGAGCTGCCCTTCTCATCATGAGATCTGCAGTGCCAGCGCTACCACTCGCGTCTCCAAAGATGACGGTAGGCCGACTTGCTGTACCTTCAGCAAGACATCCAGGTCCAATTTCGCAATCCAACCCATCACTGAGCTTGTCGTCCTGAATAGGTGGATCAGTAGTTGCTTTCCATGCTACTGGAATCAAGCCCCTGAGCCAGAAGCACTCATATTGTTCATGTTGGGATCCAGCTGCAGTGCAGGAATCACACTCCCCCTGGCTTCGCAAGCTGGTGACCCCACTGTTGCTGCTCGAATATCCGCTCCATTCTTACCTTGAAATTCTGCAAGACACGCTGTCCTAGACTTCGGCCAAGCGCCACCGATGATGAGGGTGAGGAGGTTGCCTGCAATACGTGGGCCACTAGTGATGGGCCCTTTTTTTACCACCACCACCACCGTAAGTTGGAGGGGGAAGGAGGTAGAGGATGAGGAGGAGGAAGAAGAGGAGGAGGAGGAGGATCCCCTCCCCCTCCTACTTCTCGTGGTGGCGGTGAAAAGCAAGCCCACCAACTAGGATGAGTGGTTGCAACCTTGCGCCCTGCTGCAAGCCTTCTCCATCAGAGTGCTTGGCCAACCGAGCCAACTGTGCGCCAATTAGCTGCCGCTGTTACATCATCAAGAAATCACCGAGTGTCTGTGAAAAAACACACGCTGTGGAAAAACAACACTGTGGGAAAAACATACTGTGGAACAAAAACGCACAGTGGAAAAAACAAACACAAAGATGAAAAGACAAGTTCAAGGCAACGCAGCAGAAACACATGTTTTTTCCACGCGGTGTTTTTTTCCATATTTGTCTTGATGCGGGTGAAACCTTCGTTTGAGCTGTCCCAACCGCGATCACCCGGCAAGCCCCGGCCTATGGGACCCGACGAAGGACCGCGTGCACGACGATGCCGCGGACCAGCCGGCAGCGCCCGCAGCTTGCCGAGCAGCCTCGCCCATGCCCGACGACATTTATGCCCTGATCTCTGGATTAGGGAGACGAACAATTACATGAAATATCAAAACTCGGAGGTCCGCGCGGATTTCTCGGATCGGCGCTGGACCTCCCTCCCTGGCGCGCGGAGCGCGCCAGGGCGGCGCCGGAGGCGCCGCCAGGGGGCTCCCTGTGATTCTTCGTTCTCCTGTGGATGATCCCGCCAATGCTGCAGACGTCACGCAAGCGTCCCACAGGCAAGCTGCTGTGCTAGATCCTGCTCCGTTGCATGCACCGCCAATATAAAGTAGTGAGACATGGACCCTGCGTGCGTGTGTGACAGAAGGCTCCGAGCCTGCGCCCATCGCTGCACCGAGTAAGTACTGCTCAAGCGCCCCGTGCCGTTGATTACCACGATTGCCAACTTCTTGTCCTCGCTGCTGCTCGATACGCGGGGGGGTATTTGGAGCGATTTTCCTCTGACCTTAAGTCGGGCGTGTCCCTCTACAGGAGGGATCTTCAAACATAGTCAAAAATAGTCAGACGATCTGAGTTTTTTGTTGGGACCATTTTTTAGGTGTTCTTCCAGAATCCGCCTGTAGGGGTGCACGCCCGACCTGACTCTAACCCCACCTCTGCCCCTAATCCCACCCCGGCGCCCCCCCCCTGGACGCTCTCCTTCTCTTCTTCCCGGGGGGGGGGCGGGCCTCTGGAGCGATTCTCCTTTTGACCCCACCTCCAGAGGGGGGGGTCAGCACCTGAGGTGGGGCAAGGAAGCGAAGCAATCTGGACGCTCACACTTTTTCTCCTGGGGGGGTATGTGGAGCGACTTTCCTCCGGCGTGTCCCCCTACAGGAGGAATCTTCACAAAATAAGCAGGAAATGGTTTGGAGACGATTTGAGTATTTTTTGACTCTCTTTCAATATTTCTTCCAGAATCCGCCTGTAGGGGGACGCGCCCGACCTAACTTCGGCGCGAGCGAGGGATGGAATGGAAGTGAGAAGGAGAAGGTCCCCTCGCGCCTTTGAGAGGTCTGTTCTGTCTTCGGGGAAGGCCTGGAAAACTTCTCAGAAGGCTGGGGGACTTCCGAGCCTTCTGAGAAGGCCCGCCCCTTCTCGCCTCCCCCCAGCAGCCGCAGCCGCAGCTGGCAGAAGAAGACCACCGCGAAAAAATCGCGATCGTTCTCCACTCCCAGACGCGGCCACGGCCGCGGCCAGGGCTGCGAACGCAGCCGCAGCCGCGGCTGGAAGACGAGAGCCACCGCGAACAAATCGCGATGGTCACCCCCTCCGAGCGCTCGCCGCCGACAACTCTGACCCTCACCACCCACCAAACCACCCCAACCCAACCCGAAGGCTCAGATTTACCCTCGATGTCCAGTGGGGAGGGGTCGGGAAACGTCGAAAAAACACATAGGGAACCCTTGACCCCCCCCAACCCGAAACTCGGGCCTTCGGGTTGGGTCAGGGGTGGTCTGGTAGGTAGTCAGACCCCCGTGTTCCTTAGTTGCTCTACAGTGCTCCTCGGGTTTTCTTATGTGTTCCTTAGGTTTTCCATGGAAAATCGGAGTTTCACATCTGGGACAAAGGGGCCTCGTTCCTTATTTATCGTTCCTTAGGTCAACGCCCCGACTACCTCTCTGCCCCTGCCCCCACCCCGGCGCCTTCCCCCCCCCCCGACTGGGCTTGGCCCGCCCCCCCCCCCGCGCCGGGGCAGGCTCCGGGAGTGCCAGGGCTGCAACGTGCAGGCGGGGGCGGCCGCCGCCGCGGGCGCGCGGCACGCCGGTGCACCGGTGCAGGAGGAGGAGGAGGTGGAGGAGGAGGAGGAGGAGGAGGAGGAGGAGGAGGAGGTGGAGGAGGAGGAGGAGGAGGAGGAGGAGGAGGAGCTAGCCTGGGTTGGTCCCCGCCCCCCTCCCTATGGGGGACGAAGAATGGCATGAACATAAGAACTGGACTTCTTTTGTTTCGATGGGTTTGCGACGGAGAGCGCGACGTTCCCGCACCAAAGATCAGTGGGCGTCCTGGGGTCTCAGGGTTGGGCTCCTTGCAGGGGGTTTCTTGTGGACTGGCCTCCACTGTATTAGGGGAACGAAGAATGACATGAACATAAAGACTCGGAGGTCCTCGCGGATTTCTCGGATCGGCGCTGAAGCCCCCCTCCCTGGCGCGCGGAGCGCGCAAGGGGCCGCGCCAGAGGCGCCGCCAGGGTGGTCCAGCGCCGATCCGAGACATCCGTGCGGACCTCCGAGTTTTTATGTTTATGTCAGCCTTCGTTTCCCTACTCCCTGCGGGCGGGACTGCTATTCAAGGGCGCCCTCGAGGGCGCTTCGCGGTTCGGTTTTGACTCCTCCTGCCCCTCTTCTCCCCGGGGGGGCGGCGCGAGAGCGCGAAGTTGTTCGCGGTTCGCGCATCGCGCAGCGCGAAGCGCGAAATTAGGCGCTCTTGGTGTCGATATCCACTGCGTCTTGGACTTTCTGGGAAGGGGCGCCAAAAGGCCGAGGCGCAGTGGATGTGGGTAAAAATCTGGCCTCTGGGGGTCAGATTTTTTGCAAGAGCCTTGCATACGCCATTCCGCCGACCCCCACAACAGTGAACTCGTCAAGAGTCGTGCCACCGTGCCTGGTCTGTGGGTCAGGAGCCTCGGTGATGCATATGAGGGTCTCCTGGAATACCTCTTACGAGCCTCTTGGAGGGCTCTTGGGGCGTTCTGATTCGCTTCGGGGGGCCTCTTGGAAACCTCTTGGAAACCTCTTGGAGCCTCTTGGGGGCGCCTCGGGGGTGATGGGGGCTTCATGGGCCGTCTTGGGACGATCTTTGGGGCTTGAACGAGGCGTGTATGTCGAAAGTGCATGCTTTCCTAGGTCATGGAGCGATTCCTTGCCTCTTGGGGCCCTTTCGGCGGCCCTCAGGGAGCAGGCCGTCTTGGGGGCCTAGTAGGCCGTCTTAAAGCCATCTTGGACCGTCGTGGGGTTACCTCGAGCCGTCTCGGCGCTCTCTTGGATAGTCTCGGCTCATTGGGCCGTCTCGGGGCTTTCTGGAGGTTCTGGAGAGCCCCCGGGGTGCGTTGGCGAGTTCGTCCCCCCCCCGCCCGACCCCCCCCCCGCCCCGCCCCCTCTGATGCGGTGTTTTGCTCCTGGGAGGGGGAAAGGGGTAGGGGGACAGCCAATGGTCTCACACGCTTCTCACCCCCAGCAAGCGGGGGCCGGCTGATCCATATCCACTGCGCCTCGGGTGTCTGCAAAGTGGAGCCCGAAACTCCAAGATGCAGTGGATCTGGTCCCTCCCCCCAGCACCCCCAGACGGCGGAGTGAGGGGGACGAGGGGTGGTTCCCACCACAGCGTAGGAGGAGGAGGAGGAGGAGGAGGAGGAGGAGGAGGAGGAGGAGGAGGAGGAGGAGGAGGAGGAGGAGAGGAGAGAAGGAGGACGACGACGAGCGAACGATCAAGGAAGGTTTTTGCGATTTTGGTGGTTTGGGGGTGCTGGGGGGGCGACGACACATACATATATCTATATCTAATATTTATATATATACACACATAGATATACACATATCTTGCCCTCTTTTCCCCGTGGGGGTCAACGTTTTCCCTGCTGGCGGGCCTGCCTCCCTGCGGGGGAGATGTGTGTTTCCGTCCGGTTCCTGGGCGCGCGAATGCGGCAGGCTGGTGCCTGGCCCGCTGAGCCTGGGGATAGGCATAAAGGTGCTGAGGCAACCCAGACTTCCAGCATCGCGGATCGAGGACAAGGAGGAGGAGGAGGAGAAGGGAGAGGAGGAGGAGGTGGAGGAGGAGGAGGAGGAGGAGGAGGGGGAAGGGGCCTCAGGATACAAGCGGCACACTTTGTTCCGGCGGTTTTCGCGCTGACACGCGTCGCCCTGGTGTTGTGTTATATTGGCGATATAACACAACACCATGCAATATGATATTGGATGGCCTTATGTTGACCCGCAGAGGAGAAGGGAAACTATTTTTCTTCTCGTAAGATGTTCGGTTTGATTCGTGTCACGCTGGTTTAGAATGGCCACATGTAGGGCCCCACAATACATGTGACACTCTTTTTTCTCACACGTTTTGCGGGAATGACACGTGTCACCCTGGTGTTGTCTTATGCTGTTTGGCCCCATGTTGGGCTTCAGAATGCAAGTGGCAAATTTGTTTTTCGCACACACGGCTTTTGGGGATGACAGGGATCACTTGGGTGTTTGTTTTTTTGCATCACCCAAGGATGGCCCTCAGAATACGAGTGAATTACTTGGTTTTCTCACACGGTGTTCGGGATGGCACGTGTCACCCTGGTGCTTCCTCATAACGCACGGCCACATGATGACCCTGCAATATAGCAGAGACAATCTGTTTTTGTCACGCGGTGTTCGGGGTGACACGTGTCACCCTGGTGTTGTCTTATATTTCATAGTCCCACGTCGGGCCCACGAAAAGAAATGACACGATTCGTTGTTGTCACGTTTTTCGGTGTGACACGTGCCACATGGGTGTTTTCTTATCTTGCATGGCTTCATGCTGGCCATGCGTTCTTACATTGCATGGCCCCATGTCAGGCCCCAGAACACAAGCGGAACGAACTGTTTTTCTCCCAGGGTTTTCGGGGTGACACGTGTCACCCTGGTGCTTTCGTTTGATATGGCATGGCCCGATGTTAGCCCGCAGAATACAAGTGACACAATGTGTCATCCTCACACGGTTTTCGGGGTGACACGTGTCACCCTGGTGTTTTCTTCTGATATTGCATGACCCCATGTTGGCCTTCAGAGTACACGTGAAACAGTTTTTTTCTCAAGCGGTGTTCAGGGTGACGCGTGGGTGATGATGATGCTGCTGCTGATGATGATGATGATGATGCTGATGATGATGATGATGATGATGATGATGATGATGATGCTGATGATGATGATGATGATGATGATGATGATGGTGGTGGTGGTGGTGATGGTGGTGGTGGTGGTGGTGGTGGTTGTGGTGGTGGTGATGATGATGATGATGATGATGGTGATGATGGTGATGATGATGATGATGATGATGATGATGATGATGATGATGATGATGACGATGATGATGATGATGATGATGATGATGATGATGATGATGATGATGATGATGATGATGATGATGGTGATGACAGTGATGGTGAGGATGATGGTGATGGTGAGGGTGATGGTGGTGGTGGTGGTGGTGAGGAGGAGGCAGTTTCTCTTCGGCAGGTCTGCTCGAACTACGAGGACTTCATGCTGTGCCCGAGCTGCTCCGAGAAGGACCAGAAGTGCCTGTGCTGCGGCACCCGCACCTCCCCCCCGCGGGTGTCAGACGGGTGGGGAGCGGGGGCATTCTAGGGGAAGAGGACGAGGGAGGAGGACGAGGAGGACGGGGAGTTGGACGAGGAGGCATCTTTACTGTGATTACTGCCGTTGTTATCCAACTAATGTGAGTGTCGTCACACCTGGCGGGCGCGTGCTCTCACCAATATTCTTGTCCCACGCTTGTTCTCTTTTATTTTCCGCGGCGCCCGCTAGGTTCCTTTTCCTTCACCAGCTGCTTTTTTTTAAATTTCTTCGGTCCCCACTGAAGCCACAGCGCCACGCTCAGGTTAGGCTAACGGAAAAGGCGGCAGTTATAGGTCCGAGGATCGAGCTGCGACGATTTATTAGGTTCGGCGTTTTTGCTGGTCATCGAAAAGCCTTCGGCCCATGCCGCCACCGTGCCTGGGTGATGGTTCTGAGGCGTCTTGGATGTCCGTCGGGGTCTCGTCGAGGCCTGCTGGAGGCTTGTGGAGGTAGTTATGAGGCTTTCGGGGGCTCTGTTGGGGACCTCTTGGGGCTTCTTTTGAGCCTCGTGGGGGCCAGTTGGGGACAGCTTGGTGCTTCATCGTGGGGGCCTATTGGGCCTCTCCTGGGATCGTTCTGGGGCCCTCTTGGGCCATCTTGGGGTCCTCTTGGGGGCATCTTGGGGCCGCGACACCAGGGACTATCCATGGCGACGCGGCGACAGATGGAACTGGTGATAGCACCAGGCGCCCATGGCGCACTGGTGGCTGAACCAGCACAAGCACCATATGCCCATGGCTAAATGGTGACTTTGACGTGGCGAGCTGGGCTGCTGACGGCTTTGAGAGCCTCGCGCCCGGGCTTGCCTGAATTCGGCGCCGTTGGAGACGTTAGGTCCCGATTGTGCTACGCCGGCCCTGGCCGGTATCTGCGGCCGGGCCGCCGTCGGGGGAGTCGTTACCATGCGCTTCCTGCCGCCGCATATGTACATATATGCATTTGAACACTAAGTTGACTGATCTCTAGCTGTATGGGGTCAAAGGGAAATAACGCGCGCGCCCCGCACTCTCTTTCGTTCCCTATCCGCTTAACGGACAGTCGAACCTCATACTTTGCGGCTGTCGCCGTTCTCTTGGCCGCCATGGTCTCTCGGCAATCCTCGAGCCCAATACGTTCCTTGGAACCAATGGTAGGAGTACCAAACTTACTACCTGTACATCCTGATGATATTGGCCCTGTTGGGCTTAAGTTGGGTAAAGATGCGATCCGCCCGTCAGGGTCCCGCGGCGGGAAGGGCCAACGTGGGGGTTCCGATACGGACTGCCCGTTCGACCCGCCCGTCAGGGTCCGCATCCCGGTTTCCATCAGGGTCCGCCCGCCCGACCCGCCCGCCAGGGTCCCTTGGCCCTTCCGGACAGGCGGGAATCCCGCCAGTCCGGGTCCGCCCGCCCGTTCCCGACCCGTCCGGTTTAGTGTAGCGCCCGCCTGAGCCGCCCGTTTAGGTTCACGTGTTTTGGTTTTGGAAGCTTGGTTGGCCCGGGGGTATTTCAGGTTTTTGTTTTCACCGCTCTGCCGTCGATTCGCTCGGGTTGTGCGTCTAGGATGACCCTCTTCAGGGGCAGCGGAATCCTGCTTCTCCCTTGGGTTTTCGCAGTGGATTTGTTGAGGAAGTCCGGTCAAATGTTCCGCCCGCCCGCTAGGGTTTGCCCGCCCGGCCCACCTGTTTGGGTCCGCCCGCCCCGTCGGTTGGGGTCCGCTCGCCCGACCCGCTTGTCTTTCCCTGTTAGGGCCTATCCAAAAGGTGGCATGACGAATCAATGCCCCCAAAGGAGGCTCATAATCGAAGGGGGCGCGAATTGAGGGTGCGAGGTATGCATGTTGAGTGGCACGCAGGTAACGAAGACTGAACGTTTTCGTGCTGTTTGTTGCTGTTGATGGTTGTAAGGATGACGATGGTGGTGATGGCGATGTTTTCGATGATGACTATATGATGCTGCCGCGGGTGATGATGATGGCGATGATGCTGTTGTTGATGATGCTGTTGATGATGATGACGACGACGATGCTGCTGATGACTATGATGATGACGATGCGGATGAGGCAGACGACGAGTATTCGTACTACTAATATCAAGAAACATGCACTGTAAATGACAGTGCAAATCATTGTATCACTAAAAAGAAGAGGAATACGATCTGCACTAATAATCTACTAATGCCCGGTATAGTAGCATTAGTAAGTTTACGAATACCACTAACACTGACAATTATCATTAACATTGCTACTCGTAGCGTTATTGATACGAGTAGTCCTCCTTAAAACAGAAAGAACAACAGTAATAATAATAGTACGACACGTAAGCATATAAACGCTACCAAATACGTTTAATCATACTTCTACGAACTACTACAATTTGAATAGTACACTAAGTATTCCAATCATTTTTTTGAGAATAGTAGTAACACTGTATGTCAGCCAACATTGGTTCCAAATCGATAGATGGACAGGAGAAGAGCGAGAGAAGGGGAAAACGAGCAGGTGAAGACGGGAGGAGAGGAAACCAACTATGAAATGGCAAGCAAAAGTAAACGAGCAAAGAGAAGCGAACAGCGATGCAAGTACGGAGGGTCGTGGATGTGCTTCTCATGCCTGAGCATTGCATGGCATTGCTTCGTATTGCATCGCATTACTTTGGCATTGGCAGACGCGCTGGCGTAGGCATAGGCCTTGGCATTGGCATAGGCAGAGACATCCACAGGAGTCCATATGAATCCCAGCTCAGGATCCGAAGGACTCCATAGGCATAGGCATTGGCATAGGCATTGGCATATAGGCATTGACATAGGCATAGGAATACATACGACTCATAGGAGTCCGTAGGAATCCATAGGACGGACTCGCCATTGGAAATAGCCGGCGGGTGCCATTCGAAATCAGGGGAGGTGCCATTGGCAAAGGGGGGGGAGGGGGGGGGCGCCATAGGAAATGAGGGGATGTGCCACTGGAAAAGGGTGTGTGCTAAAGACCAGTTATTGAGCTGGGACTCCTATAGGGCAAACCTATTTGGATACTGATACGAATGCGAATAAGGATACGAGTGCGAACAGTAACACGAAGGCTACACATACTAATCATAATACAACGATGAAGAAAAACATCGCAGTAGTACTCATGAGGGGAAACTATGTTTATTCGTTCCAATAGTAATAGTGACCACACTACAACTAATACGAACAACACGAATGATATTAGTACTAGTTCTAGACGTATACCTACTACTACTACCACTAGTACTACTTCTACTATTACTACTACTACCAGTACCATTACCACTACTACTACTACTACTACTACTACAACTACTACTACTTCTACTAGTATGAAAACTGGTAGGAATTTAAATACGTAGTAATCTTGATAAACATATAATTCACTAGTCATAGTACTATCGCACTAGAAGTAATGCAACTAATACGTGCACTAAGAATTCTGATAATAGTAAGACGATTACTAATCACACAAGTAAGAAAGCTGACGCTACGAGTAATTATAATAACAGTACTAATACTACGACGGGTAATTCTATCCATAATATGAAGATCAGTGGTACCAACAGTAATATGGCACGCCGTAGTATCAAAACATTTGAGTACTAGATAATACTACTACTGAGACTCATTACTAATAGTAAGAACGATACAAACACTACTTTCAATAATACGTAATGAGAATCACATTGACCATACTACCAACACAAAGAAGAAAACTGATCATATTAACGCTATCAGTAACAATCATACTACTTAGAAGCAGAGTAGTACTATTGGTAATAATAAAAGAGAGTAACGAGACTAATAATAATAACGTTACTCCGAATGAGTAATATTACTAATCGTACTAATAAGAAAAGGACGAACAATAATAAGAAGAATGATATGAGGAGGAGGAGGAGGAGGAGCAGGAGGAGGAGGAGGAAGAGGAGGAGGAGGAGGAGGACGAGGAGGAAGTGGAGGCCCTCGGAGGAGGAGGATGCGGAAGAAGGGAGGAAAGGGAAAAGGGGGGAGGGGGGAGGAGGCGAGAGGAGGAGGGAGGACACAGAAGGCAAGGAGCAGGAGGCACGGAACACAGGGAGGAAGGGGAGGAGGAGGAGGACCAGGAGGTCGAGCAGTAGGAAGAGGAGGACGAGGAGGTCGAGCAGCAGGAGGAGGCGGAGGGGCAGGGTCGTCGTCGTCATGGCCATCGCCCTTGGGGTCGGCGCTTGCGCAGAGGGCCTCCCGGGAGGCATCAGTCATCTCGACTCCCCGCCGAAGCCCGCGCCGCCGCCGAACTGCCTGTTCCCAGGAGCGCGCCCTCGCGGGTCGGCATGTCGGCGCGGCGGCCGCCTCTCTTTCCCTCCGCTCTGTCAGTCACCCAGCAGTTGTGGCGGCAGTGTTTTTGTGTGTGCACGGTCGGGCCGAGGCATGATGAGGTCAAGGTCGGTTCGGGAAGGGTGCCCTGATGTGTGTCGTGTCTGTTGGGCGCTCTCGTGCATCCTGGGTGAGGGGTGCCCTCGGAGGTTCTTCGGCTCGTCCGGCGGAGGGCCTCGTGCTTTTGGGAGGATGTTCTTCTGTCCCAGGTCCGGCCGTGGTTTGGTCTGGTGTTGTTTTGCTCCCGCCCTCTCTCCCCAATGCAGTGATGATTCAGCTCTGGCCAATGCCATTGTTATCTTCATGATGACCTCATGCGCCGTTCCATGGGGCCCACAGAGTGAGGTTGTGCTGCGTGACCCCGAGCCACGCCCTCGAGTTGCTGATCGTGTTTGCCCATGCCGTACCACGTATGCACACACTCCAGTGTTGGGTTGTTGTGCTTCATACTCCCCCCTTTCCCCAATGCAGTCGCAGGTGTGCGGTTGTCGAAGAAGAAGAATTTCGCCGTAGACAGAAGCTTTCGGCGCTCCGCGCGGATTTGTTGGATCCGCGCTGGGGCCCCCTAGTGGCGCCTCTGGCGCGCTACGCGCGCCAGGGAGGGGGGTCCAGCGCAGATCCAGAAGAAGTCCGCGCGGAGCGGCACCAGTTCATGTTTGTTCAGCTCTTTCCTCTTCTGGCTCCTTCTCCTTCTCCAGTCCCTTCCCCCCTGCTCTCCTTGTGTGGGAGCGGGTTCGACCTTGGCCTCCAGATGTCCGTCTCGGGCCCCCTGGTCCGTCCAGGTACGACCCGGGACGAGAGGCTGGAGGAGGAGGAGGAGGAGGAGAAGGAGGAGAAGGAGGAGAAGGAGGAGAAGGAGGAGAAGGAGGAGAAGGAGGAGAAGGAGGAAAAGGAGGGAGTACGAGAGAAGGAGGGAGGAAGGAGGAGGAGGAGGAGGAGGAGGAGGAGGAGGAGAGGGGAGGAGGAGGAGGAGGAGGAGGAGGAGGAGGAGGAGGAGGAGGAGGAGGAGGAGGAGGAGGAGGAGGAGGAGGAGGAGGAGGAGGAGGAGGAGGAGGAGGAGGAGGAGGAGGAGGAGGAGGAGGAGGAGGAGGAGGAGGAGGCGGAGGAGGAGGAGGAGGAGGAGGAGGAGGAGGAGGAGGAGGAGGAGGAGGAGGAGGAGGAGAGGAGGAGGAGGAGGAGGAGGAGGAGGAGGAGGAGGAGGAGGAGGAGGAGGAGGAGGAGGAGGAGGAGGAGGAGGAGGAGGAGGAGGAGGAGGAGGAGGAGGAGGAGGAGGAGGAGGAGGAGGAGGAGGAGGAGGAGGAGGAGGAGGAGGAGCTGCTCCTTCTTGGACGGGGTCGAGAGCCCAGGGCCGGTGGCTCCTCCGGCACCGCGGAGACGCCGCGGCGTCGGAGAAGTCGGCAGCAGAGCATGGGAGCCTGGCGCTCCGGGGGGGTAAAACACACACAGACACAGTGATTCGTCGATTCCCCAGAAGATATGGGAGAATATGGGATGCGGGGGGGAAGACAGAAACCCAGGAGATATGGGGAAATGTGGGGAATCTTTTTACTTGTGTGTATTTATTTGTGTGTCCTAGGGCCCCTTCAGGTACACCCTCTCAATTCCGGCTTTAGCGTTCCACTAGCGCCAGTCCGCGTCTGGGAGTCGACGAGATATAGCGCCGATGTGGCGTCGATTGGCGCCGATGTGGCGTCGACTGGCGTCGCTTCAGCGTCGATCAGCGTCGATCTCGCAAGAGCCGACAGGATGGTATTGGAGGCTCCCGTGAGTTGCCACCGAAGGAGGAGGGGGCCCTTGCCCTGCCGTCGGCCACCGCGGCGATGATCTCCCCGTCCTCGTCTGGGCCTTCGCGGGGGGGGGGGGGAGCGGTCCGCGCCGTCGCGGCTGGAGTTGCCTTGAGACATCCCAGCTGGGAGGGCGCGCTCTGGCAGGGGTCTGGGGGGTCGACGCCTGGGAGGGGCATGTCTGGACGCCCCGGCGACGCGAGGAAGTCACGACGGCCAGTGCTTCGATGGTTTCCGTGCTTCCGTCTCTGGAGGCCCGTTCCACGCCCCGTCATCGTTCCCAGCGACAGCCGGAAAAGCAGCCTGAGGGACGGGGCCGACAGCTCCTACGGGTCCCACGTCGTGAAGCAAATCACGACTTCGGAGGTCTTGCCGTGGGTGGGTGGCCACCACGGTGTCACCCGAGCCGCCGAGCACACCGCAGCCCCCCCAGAGAGACGATCAAGATCGCAGGCAGCCGTGGAGCGCCCTCCTTCGGTTTTGTCCTGGCTTGGCGAGGCTCTTGTTGGTTGCTGCCCCAGGCCTCGGGTCGGCCAGTCGAGTGCCGCCGTGAGATCAGCCACCAGAGTACAGTGGAGGTCCATGCCAAGAAGCGCCCTGCTTGCCTCCAGGGTCGGAGTAGATGGGGTCGGAGGATCGCGCCGCATCGCCGATGCATCGCCGATGCAGCTTGATGTGGGGCCCGATTTGCTTCACGTCGACGTCGCCGATGCATCGCCGACGTCGACGATGCATTGCGCATCACCGATGCATCGCCGATGCATTGCCGATGTATCGGCGATGCGTCGCGATCATCCGACCCCATCAATTCCGACCCCATCTAAGAGGCCTCTCAAGAGGGACGATGGAAGAGGAAACGCCTGACACCACTCACGCCCAGACGCCCAGAGGGCTGCTGGTGGAATTGTTGTCGCTTCGCGAATCCCCACCAGCCCATCCAGAAACGATGCCCAGAGGAATTGCCTCGATCAGAGAAGTGGGCAGCACACAGAGGAAGCCATTATGAGACATCTTGGGATATCTTGAGCCATCTTGGAGGTCATTTTGGGCTCTCCCAGACGCTCTTGGAGTCATCTTAATCCGTGCCCCCCCCCAAGAGGCCTCCATGTGGCTAAAACCTGTGTAGAATCAATGATTAGGCATTCTCGCCGAGGCCTCTTGGAGCATCTTGGGTGCATCTGGGGGGGCTCTTGGGGCCTCTTGGGGGTCTCTTGGGGGCCTCCGGGGGGCCTCTTGGGGGCCTCTTGGGGCCATTTTGGGGCCATCTTGGGACCTCTTGGGGCTTCCTGGGCGCTTCTTGGGGCCATCTTGGAGGAGATCGATCAAACAAGAGGGGGGGTTTAATTAGCGTCCCCCCTCGGAAGCCCCTAAAATCGCCTCTTGGACCCCTCTTGGAACGCTCTTGGAGTGCTCTTGGGCGCTCTTGGGGCCGTCTTGGGGCTCTTTTGGGGCTCTCTTGGGGCCCTCTTGGGCCATCTTGGAACCATCTCCAGGCCTCGGATGGCCATCGGAAGCGAAAAGGCGAGAAAGCAAAAATCATTGATTTTCCTTAGGTTTTGGGACGATTTTGGCCTCTTCGGGGCCTCCTTGGGGAGCTGTTTGGCCACTTGGAGTTATCTTGGGGCCGTCTTTGGGCTTCTTGGAACCATCTTAGGAGCCATCTCGAGCGATCTTGCGCTATCTTGAGCCATCTTGGAGCTCATCTTGGGTTCTCTGAGGCGCTCTTGGAGCCGTCTTGGGCCATCTGGGACGCTCTAACTACCCGCGGCCCCCCCCGTCCAGGTCCAGGGGAGGGGGTAGGGGGAGGGGTAAACCCCTCCCCAAGGGGGAAGAGGGAGGGGTGGAAGAGGATCTGCTCTAGACCACCTACGCCCAGAGGGCTGGTGGGATTAAGGGAGCTTTCTGCCATGTGCGCCATGATTATGTCCTCGTCCTCTTTTTGAGGTTGGTCAAACCTGAATCCTCGGATTGTGGCGTTTTAATCCTCGTCCTCCTCCTCGTCCTCCTCTTACCCGTGCGCCCGACCTGCTCTGGCAGCCCATATTGTTGCTTTACGCGTCCCTCAGGGCGGTCCGCCTTGCTCTTACAGAGGAGGCCCATGCCAAGACACCCTGCTTGCCTCCAGGGTGCCGAGAGTTTCTTGGGTTTCGATGGTTTTGCGATGGAGAGCGCGATGATCCCACACCAAACATCCATGGACGTCCTGGGGTCTCAGGGTTGGGTTTCTCGTGGAAGGTTTCTTGTGGTCGGGCCCCTACTGTAGGGATGCGGTGCCTCACCAGCGCTGCCCCTGCATCATTGCCTGATCGGCCCCTCCTCGGCCGAGTTTGTGTGGTCCTTCATGGGAGCCTCAGAAGGCCTCAACGCTCCTTCCGGTTTGGGGGATCTCGTCGCATGCGGTCGACATTCGGAAGACATTTGGACGAACTCTGGACGAATGGGTGAAGAGGGGAGGTCGAAATCTGGACGAAATCCTGTCGAAATCACGTTTATGATGGGGCCGCGGAGGTTCACAGAGGCTCCCATGAAGGCTCACCCAACCGAGTCTGGTCGCCAGCTCCTGAGGTCACCAGGGGTCTAGTGGTCGGCCCCAGGTCCAAATGGGGGCCTGGTGGATTTTAAGTGTTCGCTCTTTGAGACTCACGCGCGAATCTCTCTCTCGCTCTCTCTCTTTCTCTCGCACACTCCCGCTCTCTCTCATTCCTCTTTGTTATTTGTTTGTTCTCTCTCTCTCTCTCTTTCTCCCCCTTTTGTCATGTATCCAAACCGTGCCGAAGCTTCTTTCGCCTACGCAGGGGGATTCTTACTCAAGATTTTGTTAGTAAGGAAGCTTCAGTGGGACATCCTTGTTAAGGAATGCTTCGTAAGGACCCCTCAATTTGAGGAGTTCCTGTGGAACTCACGTCATCCTGACCCCCCGCGCGCGAGGCAATGGCCCCGCCGACCGCCCCCCTGTTCCGTTTCCGGTGAGATCCGGGAAACTCGGGCGAGTCCGGCGAATCCGGCGACGAAGTCCAAACCGGCGCCCTCGCTTGGGACATGCTCAGAAAAACAAACCCCTGTCACCGCCCACCAAACCACCCCAACCCAACCCGAAGGCCTCAATTTGCCCTCCATTTCCAGTTGGGGGGGGTCCGGGAACATCGAGAAA